ATAATACAAATAACATCGCTTTGATTCATAGTCATTTGGAATGTGTTATTGTGAATTTGAAATTAAGATTTAGTTCTGTGTGTAATTCTGTAGTCAGTAAAAATATATATAATGAATGTGATTTTATTAAAAAATATGATGAAGATTTTGGCATGAATTTACAAGAAAAATATCCAGTTGAGGCAATAGTATATTTGTGGAACAATTTTGATGGTTTAATAAGTGGTATAACTAAACTACCAGAGTGTATGGCTATTTATGGTAACGAACTCGAAATAATTAAAAATGAAAATGATATTGAATTTATTCGAGAAAAACTAATGGATTTGAAAGGATCGAATGATGAAGAACTTTTTCTTGACCTTTACGACTATAGAAGTTTGGTCTCCAAAAAACACCCCCTGCTTTTGGAAGCACTATTGTTATGTCGTTCGTTAAATTTTACTTCTTCTTTATGTGAGTCGGCATTTAGTCGTCTCAAGTTGTACTTTAGACCACGAATGGGAATTGATGCAGTTGAAAGGATGATGTTGTTAACACATGATAAAGCGCTTAAAAAATCAGAAATTGTAGTTGATGATCTTGTCTTTGAAAATGAAGCAGTGGATGTTCTTTGAAAATAGCTATTGAATATATTTATTGATAAAATGTATTCAGTGAATAAATGTGATATTAAATAAAGAACACGTTTGATAAGTTAATTGCTGTTTTTTCAAAAAAAAATTACCAATTTACAATTTTGCCATCATTCAAAAAACAAAAACCAAAAACAATTATTTGTATTTTCATAGATATGTTTTTTATTGAAGTATTTTTTGTTTCTTTTTTTGTTTAAATCAAATTTATGTTTTTGCAAAAGATTTGTACCAAATGAAATTATTGCCGAAAGAGTAATTTGAAACCTTTTTATGTTTATTTTAAACAAAAAAATACAAAAAGACAGTTTTATAATCTTTTTGTAATTAATTGACAAATCAACACAATTAATACCAAAATTTTCTCTAATTACTTTTAAGCTGATTTTGGAAACCTCTGATTATATATTCATTTATTATTTTTAATTGATTATAAAAATTATACCAATAAAAATACATAAATATTAATATTATTAACATTTAAACAATGATCTAACTTCTCTAAATATCTTCCCACTCTTATTAGGAAAAACAAGAAAATCCTATTTTCAGATAAAAAACAAAATCAACAATAATGATATATTTTTTGCATAAAATGTGGATGCACAATCAAGTAAACCAATTTTAAATTTCCCTGTTTGTTCTTGCTAAAATTAATAGTCACTTTGATACCAAATACAATGAAAGGTGTCTATTTGTCGTAAATACAACACAAAAGAAATTTATTTGTCAGATTTGAGAGAATTTTTAAAGAAAGTTTGATTTGATATTGAAGTTTATTTTTACATAAAATTTGATTTAAATTCAACAAAAATTGCAGATTCGAGGACAAAAAAATAATAGTTGTACACCAAAATGATTGGTCAATTGCGCGACAAACAGACCATTTTCACTGTACCAATTTGTCCAACTGAATAAATATCAACTTTATTAAAAAAATAACTTTAATATTACACTTAATAGTAATTGATATTATAATTAACCAAACATTCCACATAATTATTGTTTAGACTTTAAATTTTGTTTTACCGATATATTTTTCATTAAGTGGTGAATTGTAAATTTCAAGGATTTGCAGTTTCCAGTTGAAAATTTCTCTTGGTGGGAGGAGTTGTTCATACATCAATTTGTGGTAATATGGAATGATAGTTGGGAATGAATGAACGCCGCCCTTTTCACAAAATTCTTTATGCTCTTTACAATTGATATCGAGGAATTGAATTTTGTCTCCAAAGCTTGCCAAGTCATTTTCTAAAGATTTGTATTCTTCTTTTATCTTAGTACAGAAATGACACGTCTCTAAATAATACTTTACCACAACAAGTCCTCCAGCTTCTATTGCTTTATCAGCCTCTTCTCCAGTGCTCTCACGAGAGAGTGTTAAACAAAATAGAACCAAAAAGAGGACTCCCATTGTCTTTTATTAGTTTTAAGTTCTTTATTATTTCAGTGGTTTTCAGAAGCTAAATTCTGTTTTATATTTTTTGTTTTGAAAAAATAAAATTCGAAAATTTGTTGTTCATTCAAATAAAAAAATCAAATAGAGATTGTCTAAAAACATTATTTATTCAAAAAATAATACTGTTTGTTTTTAACGTTATCTTGTCTCTTATGTTATCTGATATTTTTTAAACAATTAAAAATGAAATATTTCGGTCAGCAGTCCCAAAAATCTATCCCAGTTGTTTCAGGTTTTTTTCACGTTCCACCTAATGCCCGATGTTTAGACAAAATTATAGCTTTTTGTACACCAGATTACGTTTAAAGACTGATTTTACCAATAATATCAATACTGGTTTAATGACCAAATATCATTAACCCTTCGAGGACGGGAAAAATCAAAATTTGTAAAAAAATAAAAATCTTAGTCAATTGTAATGTAAATGTGACCTTTTTTTCTTTAATTTTTTCAAAAATACTAGACACCCTGGAACGACAGCTCTAGTAAATTTTTATAAATTATAGTAAAAAAGTGAATATTTTGTTGAAGTGGGGATGAACAAAGGTTCACTTTTTTGTTTGATCTTTTCAGAAACAAGTCACAGTTTGATGGAAAAGTCAGATCAAAAATTTATTGAGATGACCACAACCTATTACAATAATAAAATTAATTATAAAATATAACAAAGACCAAATTGCATCGTAAAACATACTGGTCCGGAATATTCAAAATCAATTGCATCATAAAATAACAAAGAAAATAAAATAAATAACAGACTTTGAGGTGTCTTGAAATTTCATTATGTAATTGATCTCAAAAACAATTACAAGGGGAAATAAATAGATTTTTTTGTAAACTTCGAAAAATACAAAAATTTAATAAATTGGGTTTTGCTATTTTTTTTGTAAAAGAAATAAGATAAGACGAAAAGATACTTTTGTTTGTTCCGACTTCGAAAAACAAATCTTAAAGAAAATAAGTGTAAAATATACAAAAAATATCTAAAATACATTTTCAAAAGTATCAAAAATCGCAAAATTGAGAAAAATTTATAAAATCAACTTTAACAATAAAAGTAGTCGCATTTAAATAAACTTTGATCACCACGAGGTTTTGTGATCACTCGTTGAAATTCACGTCGTGCCACTGTCGAGGAAGCAAGATATAAATTCATTATTTGTAATTTGAATTTTTCATTTTCAAACAAAAACAAAAAGGTGATCTGCCATTTCTATGAAATACATGACCACAAACAACGGGAAGTATGTTATTGCTTCTTTGAGATTTAATTGATTGTATATAATGTTTCAAATATTGAACATTGTCGATAGTATTTTGTTGTTTTTCTATTTGTACATCTTCAATTTGAATTGTAGATACTTGGGTATCATTATAAGACGGGTAGTATGCTACCACTTTTTGATTGGATAACTGCATATAGTGATTCTGATAAGAAAATGTTAGTGGTGTATAAAATGGTATTGGTATCATGTATGTAATTATAAGTTAATTTGATTTATATGCAGATAATAATAAGGTCTGTCTAAAAATGTTGTCTGCTTGTAAAATGTTGTTAATTTGACAAAAATTTACACAAAATAAGTTAAAAAATTGGGAATTAGAAAAAAATGTTGAAAACCAAGTAAAATTATGAAACGGTGTTTTGGGTGTTTCGAATATTTTCCGAAATACTCCAGTTTTAATAATCCAAAAATGCACGGACAACTTTTTACAGACTGACTATAGTAGATAGGCAGGGAGTGCTGTTTAAAAAATTATTATATAAGAAACACACTATTTTTAAATTTAATTGAAAAGATTCTTTTCATTAATAAATTGAATCGTAGACAATTAAAAAACGAAATGGAGTGAAAAATCCAAATTTATGCAAAATTGCAATCTTTTCTTTTTTAAAAATAAACAACTATATAAATTTTTTTATGTGATAACAACAATGATATTGACTTTCAAATGTTAACGAAACCCATCTTAAATGACAAACAAAATATATTAATTATATCAAAACTTCATCTTCATTTTCTTTTTCTTCGTTCTTTTTATTTTTGGTCATAATAGGAAGTAAGAAACAAGACAAAAAGCATAATAATGCCATTGACCCACACAAATAAAATATGGAAACCAACGACAGTTCAAAGTATAATAAAAGTGCGAAAATGTTTGATATAATCACAACTCCAAATGTCGTGGCCGCAGCCAAAAACGCCAAGTCAGTCCCATATCTTTTAGGTTCAGAGATTTTAGTGAGAATGACAAACGGCACTGATAGAACAACAGACTCGAGTATTCCAGTCATTCCAATGCATATAAAGTCGACTGTTAATATCCAAGCGGGTGGTGTTGTATAATTTTGAGCAAAATAGTCCATCAATATGATACCAACATGACTTAAGACACAAACAAAAGATGTCACAGAAAACAAGATGTTCTCATAATTTGAAACAAATGACGATAACAATGAACAAATAACAAGAACGCCACCCTGTGCCATTAATGAGTACATTGCCATCGATACACCTTTTTGAAAATTTGGGTCGTCTGTTTCAGCATGGTACAAATTGATTGGAAAATAATTTGCAACAAAACTCGGGAAAAGTAACACTGAAACAGTAGCAGACATTTGTATGAATGCAAGTACCCACAACTTCCACCCAAATCCCTTTATAAATTCGATTATTTTTCTCTTCCTATCTATTGGAGTTTTGTTTTCTTCTTCTTTTGTATTTTTGTCGATAAGTGGAGTCTCTGTGGTTGGAGAAACAATAACATCTGATGACGTTGTTTGTTGTTGCACATCTTTTGAATCGTTATTGGTATCAAGTAATTCAAACGAATTCTTTGTCTGTTTTGTTGTTTTTTCCTTAGAAAACACAGTGGTGACAAATGAAGTTATTGCAATCAAAACAGCACTGAGAATGAACATGAAATTGTAGTAATTGTCAATTTCAGCACATGTTGCCGCAATTATATAAAACAATAATATGAAGAACCCACTCAATAGAGCAGCAAAGAAATTTGCATTGTGTTGATACTCTGACTCTATGTTGTCTACTATTAAAGCTCTGTCCATGTTTTGAACAATTACAACTGAAGTGCTAGAAAATGATATGAAAATGACACCAAGTACTTGACTGATTATCATGTCGTTTTCTGTTGCAGAAGATGAATTTGTTGAGTTTGAAAGTGTGCCTTTTGTATCTCCCAAAGCAATGCCTATTGAGTCAGAATACGAAACAAATGGCAATAGAATAATTGCAATAATACTGCCAATAACAATAAAAAATCTTCTTTTGAATCTTTTGATTGGGAAAATGTCGGACAAAAGACCAAATATCGGCTGTATAAATGACACAATCAATGGTATAATCCCTCCAAATATCAATGATATGGTGGATATCGACATACCAGTTTTTATGTACATAAACGGAGATATCAAACAAGAAACAGTTGAAGTTGAAAAAACCAATCCTCCATTTAAAATTGAGTAAACAAAGTATTTCAAAACTCTTAAAGAACTTTGTACTATCTTATCTTTGTTCATTTGATTGTTTTTTAAGAATCAATATTTTTAAATATCAAAAATGTCACTAAAAGAAATTTTAGTTAATAACAACTTTTAGAATAAAGTAGAATTTTCGAAAGTGAAAAATCTGTTTATCGTTATCTATTATTACTTAATGGTTAATAAAATTCTGTATATTTTCTTGGTTTAAATCATGTTTTATATAATTAATTAAGGGTTTTGGATTACTTTTCGACAACTCTTAAACTTTCTTTTTGTAATTGAATTTATCATTTATATTATTTAGTTTTATGGTGAAGTATTTTTATTAATTAATTAATTAATAAACAAATAATCAATTTATAATAATAATATATAATTTAATTATAAAACATTTCAATTTTTTATTAACATAAGATTGTTGATAATTTGACAAATATTCAAAATTTTAAAACAAACAATTATTATTATTTGATTTATTTTTTTAATTTAATTTTAAAAAATTGTGTAACTCAGTTAAAGGAAATAATCATTTTTTAAAATAACAAACTATATATACCACATTTATCATTAAATGACATGCAATACGATATTATTTGTCTCTGTGTTAACTTTTTATTTTATTTCTGTAAATTTCTATTGTTCAATAAGACAATCAACCAATTTCAACAACCAAACATTATTACCTTTTATCCATCCGACCAAAATGTATTATTATTATTTGATTGAATGGTATTATTTGATATCCTTCAACCAAACTCAAATTTTAAAAAACACCACTACACTTGTTAATAAAGAATTTGCAAAAGGTATTATTTTACAGAATAATAATATTCATTGTGATTCTTTAGACTTTACTATTAATAAAACACCCAAAATTAAAATATCCAATACTTCATTATATTCAATTTCCCCTGTTTGTAACAATCAAATTGATGCAGTGTGGCTTTGGGTGAATGGGAGTGAACCAAAATGGCGTGATAAGTTCAAAAGGTACAAATTTCGTTATGAACCAAATCGATTTAGAGATTTCAACTCAATTAAATATTCAATGAGAAGTGTATTTACGTATCTTCCTTATATCAAAAACTACTTTATAATAACAGACAACCAAATACCAGATTTCATAGATGCACCAATTGGACAAAATTCATTTCAAATAATCAGGCACAAAGAAAATCACAATAATAAGTTCTATACACAGATGGATGTTTTGGAGGAAAAGTTGTTTAAAAAGAACAACGAAAAGAATCACAACTTTAATTCAAAATATGAGACATACACATTAGAAATTGTATCACACAATCAACTCTTTGATGCAAAGGAACTCCCCAATTTTAACAGTGACGCAATAGAAACTGTCATATACAGAATACCGAGACTTTCTGAATGCTTTGTATATCTAAACGACGACTTCATTTTCACCAACTACACACCACCAGAATATTTCATCAAAGAAAATAGACTTCAAATATATACTGAAAACAACTTAGCTCCAGATGAGAAATGGATAAGTGAGAATAAGTGGCACAAATCAATAGCATCTGCCAACCAAAAACTAAATTTCTATTTTAACTTGTCTGAAAACACCAAGAGACCTTATATCAGTCACTCGGCATACTTCTTCAGAAAAAGTCTCTTAGTAAAACTCGAAGAGAGTTTTAAAGAAACTTTTAACCATCAGAGATCCAATAGAATCAGATCTTGCGATGCAGTGAATTATCCCTTTTTCGCCGAACATTATTCATACTTGTTAGGTGTAGCAAATTACGTTCATGTGGATGGGTGGACTTTCTTTTGGAATCTTCGAGAAGATCACACTAAAAATGTTGAAATGAAAAATAGAATATTAAAAATGAAGCCATATTGTATATGTGTCAATGACGACTTCGAAGGATCAATTGGTGTGTCCAGAGAAATCAACTATTTACTTGATTGGTATCGCCTTCTATTTCCTGATCCAATGATATTTGAAAGAGGGGTATAACAACACACTAATTCCATTATTTATTCTTTTCGATTCTATATATTAAACAATCATTTTACAATACAAAATAGATTAAGTTATTATTAGTTACTAGTTTTTTCTAAATTCTATATTTTTTTTTCTCACAACTTCTTTGAAAAAAAACAAATAGTAAAATTAACTATTAGATAATTATTAGTATTCTTAAAAATAGACTCTTATAAATAAAATAGACTCTATTTGATTTATTATTACAGTAAAACCTGGTTATTTTCTAATTTTTAGGGAAAAAAAACTGGACATTTTATAAAACAATTTTTATAAAAACAAAAATGTTATTATGTTTTGTAAATTATTGTAAGTTGTGGCATATTTGTCTGTGAGGTTAATCAACTATTCAATTTCTTCATTTAACAACTCCAGTACTCTTTTGGCGTAAAACATATCCATTTCATCTGTAAGATCCAACGAACCAAGCTTTTCGATCAAAGCTTTTAGTTCATCAGATATTTTGTTAATTTCAACTTCGTTGTGAGAAAAATCTTCTTCTGATACATCAACAATCGCATATTTTACTTCTTCTGGTTCTATAACTTCTTCTATGGTAGTCGATTCTTGTATCAAGTTCATTCTTTTTAATTTAGATATATCTTTGTTCAAATCAGTTTCAATGGTTTCTTCATCGGTTGTGTTGTTTAATGAAACATCATTTGGAATCGAACTTGCAACAAAGTATGGTGATTTGTCATTCTTACTGATTTTTATTTCTGTGATAACAAATATAAATTTTGTCGTTTGTTTTTTTGTTTTTTCTTTTTATTATTTTTTGGTTAAAAAATTTATCAAACAAATTTTATATTTTCTGAAACTAATAACAAAACCATTTTTACAATTATAAACAATCCAGTTTATAAAATATCCAACATTATAAAATATCCAGGTTTTACTGTATTATAATAAATATATATATAATTTTTAATAATACATATTAATACATTTTATTATTAATTATTATTAATTATTATAATTTATTATTATTCTAATGTAACTCCAACTTTTGATGAAACTTGATTATGACCCATTACTTGGAGACCACAATACAAACAATGCCTGCAATCAACATCAGAGTGCCAGCACCAAACAAGACGAAGTTTTTCCACCCTCTAATTTCCGCAAATACGACAATACCCCACAATGCTGACAGCAGACCTGGTCCCGAAGTGATGAGTGGATATGACACAACGTAAGGCAAGTTAGTGTTTGCAATGAACCATGAGACTTG